TTTGAGTATGGTGTTCCTCAAGGAAGTATTTTAGGTCCACTTTTTTTCAATATTTATTTGAATGACTTACTAAAACTAAATTCAGCTGGTACTATACATTCTTTCGCAGATGATACTGTTATCTTTTACTCTGCGAAAGATTGGTGTGAATCGAAAAACAAAGTAATTCATGATTTTCCTATTATTAAAGAATGGTTTGATCAGAATTTATTAACAATTAATTTTGAAAAAACAAAATATATGACATTTACTTCCTATCAAAATTCTCAACCAAATTTAGGCACTATAAAGATAAATGGAGAAATTGAAATTCAGGAAACTGACTGTATCAAATACCTTGGTATAATGGTGGACAATAATCTGAAATGGGATCATCATATTGATTATGTCACTAAGAAAATAAGATGCCTCATTCCTAAATTTAAACATTTGAAAAACTTATTAAATATTCGAAATTTAGAAATGATATACTATGCTTTAGTTCAATCTCAATTAGTTTATGGGATATTAGGATGGGGTGGAGTGAAGAAGATATATTTGAGAAAATTGGAAATTGCACAAAAATGGATTTCAAAAATTATTTATGGAAAAGATTATTTGTTTCCAACTGAACTTTTATATAAGGAATCTAAGAAAATGGATATAAATCAACTCTATATTTACAATTTACTGATTCATATTTTCAAAAATAAAAAGGACATTCAGTTTAAAAAACATATCTATGACATAAGAAATAAAAATAACATAACATTGAAATATAAAACAAACAAGTCGTTTGGACGTAGAAATTTTAAATTTTTAATTCCTTACCTATATAATAAAATTCCAAATGATATTATAAAAACAAAATCACTACAATCCTATACAATAAAAATAAAAAATTGGATATTAAACTCCCCTAAAAATTATTTTATTTCTTTAATTAACATTTAATAATATCATTAGATGAATTTTAATAATAATTGTGAATAAGTATTTATGAATATAAATAATTATGCGTATTGAATGAAATGCTCCGTACACTATATATTATGAATTGAATACTTGTCTCATTTCTTAATGAGACAATTTTCAATTGTGATAACTTGATATTGTTAAATATTTATTGACCTATGTACATTTATTTATTTTTTATCCTTACTACAAGGTTAACTTCGTAAGGTTTTTCCCAGTTTATTCAAATTACCTTTATGTTTATTCCAATGTATATTTTGTAAACGTTTTTGAATAAACTTATATTATTATTACTTATATTATTAACGCCCCATAAGTTAAAACTTGCGCGGGGTTAGGGAAGCATACAAAGTGACCCAGTTGGCTTTGGTGGGAGTTCCCTTACAAACTAAATAAAAAAAATGAAAGGAAGGAGCGAAAAAATATCAGTGTTAATTTTGTTTCAGGGACAATATTAACAAACAGCTTAGTTGGGAATCTAAGGCCCGAATTAGCGAGGTGTATGACTTCGCAGCAACGAGACCCTACCTGTTACAGGTAAAAAAATTAATCACTCCTAACTATGCATCATGAATCTCCTGGATCTGTTTTTTTTTTACAGGACTACGAAATTTCCTTCTAACAGACATCGGAAACTTCAACCGTTCAGAGAAACGTGACTGGCTGCTCTATCAACATTTTGTATCGAAGGATCTGGAACAATTGGGACCGACCGTGAAGAGCCGCTTACCCTAATCCACCCCCTCTAGTCGTTTAAAACATACAGGTAGATGATTTTTATTTGTAAACTATGAAAATCATCCATTCTCGGTCGACCACACTTTATATAACAAATTTTCAATTAGAAAGTGACCGGTTTCGACACAACGGCCATCATCAGACTAAAACGACCTGTTATGGGTCAGGAAAACAAACAGACCATTGCAATTGAATACCATAATGATAATAGAGAAAGATTTTTCTGGCTCTTTAGCCGCTTCAAAGAATGGAACTGCATCCAACTCATCACGAAACTTATTTTCGATTTTGTACAGGCTTGTTAGGGACACCCTGTATAAGGTGATTCAAAATTCTATGTAAATATTTTAAGGATATATTGTTGGGATCAAAATAAAACATGTGTCCTAAAATGCATCTCCTGCGAGCTCCAATCACTGTAAGTTGGGTAAAAAATAAGATCATCTAAAATTGTGTGAACATTATAACGGATCAAATCGTCTGAAAATTGGCATGCCCCGGTATTTTTGGGCACTCTTCTTCTTTATTGCATCAAAAATTATGTTAACCCAGTTTTGGGAGAGTTGGAGGGGAGGTCCACACTTTTCTTGGGTGCATTGATTGATTGATTGATTGATTGATTGTCTTTATTACCCCAAGAAACATTATTGTTTATAATAGGGATATATACAACAAAACATACATATTATAAAACATAATAAATCGAAACAATAATAATTGCACAATTATTGTTTTTCCTAAAAAAAAAAAAAAGAATTATAATAAAATATAAAATGAAAATATCATAATCCATTACAAGTAATCAAATTGTGAATGATTAGTACTATTAAAGTTTACTGAGCAGGTATTTCTTTAATTTCATTTTAAATTTTTCTGCTTCTTCTATATTTTTCAACTCATTAGGTAAGGAGTTATACAAAATTATTCCATTATGGAATATTGATTGTTTACCAAAATTTGACTTATAATTATTTGATATCAATAAATTGAATTGCCTTGTTTCATGTTTGTATGAGGAAAAAGTTTTATTTTGATCCCAACAATATGTCCTTAAAATATTTACATCGAATTTTGAATCACCCGTTTGATGTAACATTCGTTTTTCCACAAATGAAACAGGGAGAGTCCTTAGAGATTGTGAAAAGAAAATATGTAATCAACTATTGTCTTGGAGATAGATGGATCATGAACAAACGAAAAAAAATCATTTGAATTAATTAAATTTGATGATGGAATGTTTAATGGTGATTTGGAGATTATGGATTTATTAATAATTAGATATGGTTGGGATATAAGTTGGTTTCTAAATTTTCATAGTTTCCATATCCTGGATTATTATTCGCCATTGTATGAAGAATTTGTAAACTTTGACAGGTAGTCAGGTGACAAGAATTATAAAACATTCTGCACTTCTGTATGTCGTCTGCTTTCATAATCAATAGAAAGTACTGAATATTGGTAAATGTTGAATGTTGGTTAAACTGAAACTAGTGTTCTACGAAACACTCTGTCAGCAACAAGGTAAATATGAAAATTTGTGATATGGAAAATATTGCCGCATTGAAGAATCACGAATTTCCAAATCACCTCATCCATGAGACATTATTACCTTCCTCTACAAGGCCCATCAATAAGAACTCTACTAGAGAATCGTAAATTATCTAAATACAAGGCTAATGAAAGTATCGTAAATAAAGTTTTATATATAACAGCTCATTTTGAAAATGGATTCTACGTAAAATAATATGAAAGTGACAATTTTTACTTTTCCTATAAGTTGGGGCGGTCCCAAAATGCAACCTTTTTAATTTCGCCCTGTATTGCAAACATATTTCAAAATTCAAAATTGCATTGAATAAATACATGATTTCATTACGAAATAGATAATTGATACTCTGCCATCTACTGATTGATCCCTGTTGCTATTTTATGATTTGATCTATTTAGTAGTTTTAGGTTCATTAGAATTTTGGTACAGAATTGGAACACCGTAGAGATCGGCGACCTTTCACTCTTCTATAAATGTTCTTCAAAAATCTCAAAAAGTTTCCATAACAACAAAAATGTCTGCAAAAAGATGCTTGCAACTCAGGTGTCATAGAAGCGATGGACCATTTTTTTTTCTTAAATAGACACTAACATGTTTTTATTTATAATATCGACTGTGATTTTTTCGTTTCCACATAGTTATGGTCCCATCCACTTGAAGACACTTCCTTGGATTATTTTGCATTTCAGGAAAAGGTTGAAACTTAATTATTTTATTCCTACAAAGTCATGTCTGGATCGATTTTTAGCACTAAAATGGATTGTATTCCTTCTTCCTACTACAACTATCAAACTTCTTTACTAAAGAATGGTAAATAATAGTGTTTTCCATTAATGAAATAATCTTAAATATGTAACAAAAATATGACAAGTGATAAAATTGACGACTATATGACATATTTCAGAATGACAGCAGCAGAACTGGAGTTAACAAAAATAAATTTTTCCTCTGAATAACTTCTATTAGTGAACTGAGTAGACTCCTACAATCAGATTTCATCAAAATAAAGCCATTTAAGTTGAAACACTTCCACATTGCTAGTGGTTTTTTGGTTGGTACATGAGATATTGTCGCATCTCAGATGTTGATCCTCCTATAGGTCGTCATCTACTCGCATGGCTTTTTGACAACAGGTTTTGATCATTTCACCATCTATCCCCAAATAAAGAGTCGAGACAGTTTTCATACTAGATTTGACATTTCTTGATTGAATGGAAAACTCGTGGATAAATGCTTGCCACATGGCCGGTTAGCAAAGAAAAAGAACATAATGGCTTGCAAAATGAAACATAACGCAAAACAACAGTAACAGAAAAAAAAACACATTACAACTTCTAGCATGGGGTTGACCAGCAGAATTGAAGTCGGGGAGACGGCGAACATTTTTTAATTGATAATTACTAATGACATATCAATAATAATGATGCCTTATCGACTCTGGTACTATTTATATTCGGAATCGATGCTAGGTTTGCAATTTTCCGAAATCGGAACGGCCATTACCTTCCGATATTGCTTACCTAGGTATTATCGCACGGTAAGCGGTTTTTGCAAATTCTACAGGAACTGACGTCTATGAACTCCGCTGACCTGATCGAAACTACACTGTACTGGATTTGGAAAAGTTAATTTATAATTAAAGATCTTGAAATGAACGCGCGTTTGAGTGATGTTATTCCATAGGCGTTTGTACTACTTGACAATATACTCAATATGACCAATATTCTGTGTCCGTAGTCCTTCTCCCACCGCCATCACCATGAGCGTGAACGTGAACAGGAGCGTCAGCGACGTCTTCTACCGCTACAAGATGCCGCGCATCGTGGCCAAGGTCGAGGGCAAGGGCAACGGCATCAAGACGGTCATCGTCAACATGTCGGAGGTGGCCAAGGCGTTGGGCCGGCCGCCCACCTACCCCACCAAGTACTTCGGCTGCGAGCTGGGCGCGCAGACGCAGTTCGACTTCAAGAACGAGCGGTTCATTGTCAACGGATCGCACGATGCCGCCAAGTTGCAGGATCTGCTGGACGGGTTCATCAGGAAGTGAGTGATGGTTTGATTGGAAGCACATTGAACAGCAAGTTTCAAAAGCTAAACGAGCCATTGGGGCCCTGTATCGTTACCACCGATACAACAAGGCCTGCATGCTCCGTGGGTGACGTCACTTAGTCAGGCCTAACCAGCGGCTGGAAACGACAAGCGCTTATAGCGCTATAAGGCGACCGCGTATTTCGATTTTAGTTTTAGATCATCATTGAGCCGATTTTGCTGTTTTTTGAAGGGCTTCCGGTTAAAAAAGGATGCCAGTCGTCAACTGAGCCCTTCTTCGCACCCCATTCGCTTTTATTATGGAAAAACGAAGTTTTAAAGCAAAAACCAGGATAAAACACAAATATCCACCTACAGCAACCCATTCGAATTAAATATATTGGCAAACATTGTGGTGAAGGTAAACTTCACACCTACTTATACAGGGCCCGCAGAACATAAACTTATCGTGAGATTGATCGAAAGAAAATTGTGGAAAATGTATTTTATTTTGATTGACATGCCGTTTGTTACAATTACCTATATTTATCTTGGAGAATTCCTATTACCTGAAAAAATAACCAGTGAGTGTTTTCAATTTTCTGTTGTTGGATTTTTCACCCAAGTGGATCGTTACACTTGAAACCGTAATTTTTAAGGGTAAAACTGCATTTATCATGCAATGGTTTTTTTTATTATATAATTTCATAATGAAAATGTGAACAAACCACTATTTATTTAGATATTTCAAGAAAAAGTTCGAAATTTCGCCTTCTTTCTCCCCTTGTGTTGGGGGCATTTGAAGCTACTTGCTCTTATTTTGTCATTGGACACTTTATATACTCATGATGTACTTCGATGGCACATTTTTATATGGAAAATTCAACAGGAAATATGATTTTTATGGCGAGTTTTTCATATTTAGTGAACAAGCATTCCAGAGGACCACCATTTAATCAATAGTCAATCAAAATACGAGATGTCAAATGTCAATAGATTGCTTTCGAATGACATTACACACGCCATTATTTTGAATGATATTCTTCCTTCTTTTCACTAAATATGGATTAATCTCAAGGAAATCATATTTATAGTTGAATTATATATAAATTGTCCAATATGATGAAAAAAGAAGGGAAATTTGTAACTTTTTAGTCAAATATCTTCATGATAAATATCATGATAAATGCAGTTTTACCTTTTTAAGTAGAGTGTTTGTAGTTCATGTTGATATGATAGTTGCAATTTGATCATTGGAATGAATTCTGCATTCATTGCCACGAGGCAAATGACCGTTTTCAGAAAGAAATTTGAGAGTGAGAATTAAAAATGCCCGTTTATTATGAACATTCAAGAAAATTTCCTCGAATTCAGAGATGATTTTGTTGACTATAATATACGAATACAAAACTAACTGCACAATCAAAGCTTTTCTATTTCTCCTCTACTTATACTTTTTATGAGAGAGTAATTGTCTTCTATTATTAATTCATCATTATAAAGTAAGCTCTGTTTACTACTGAACTTAGATACTTAGATGGAGTAAAATCCTCGCGGTGAATTGCATAATATACTTACCCACATTTTCGATAGCTCCTCGTCCAACGGGAAACTAAAAGCATGAACTTTTGAACCACCCACATAATTCCCCCGACAAAAGGGAACACAACTCTTGAAAGGCATTGTTATTTCGCCGATCACAACACAAAATATTTCACAAAACAGTAATTTTTCCGCCAATTATTTTGATAAATAAACAACAAAAGAATTCGGGACCGTTTCAAAAACATACGTGAATCACCGATGAATTAATACGAACTGACGCGTTAGTCGACAAGCGATAAAATAAAACACTGGCCTCACTTGGCGACGTCACGAGCTGTTTACGTCAGAGTCTGCTGGCCTTGTTGTATCGGTGGTAACGCCTGTATCCATTTCTGAACAGACGAAGTAAATTGGGTTTGAGACAGAAATTGAATATTTACATCATGGCTATCAGGTCAATTCTCAGAATGTATTTCTGAAACTTATTCGGAAGCAAAAAAATCAATCATTAAAAATGTACCTCAGAACACGTGAAAACAATTAGTGGATGAATAATAATATTATCAAGGACTCTTCAACTCTTCAACTAGTTCAACTACATTCTCAGCTAATGACGTTGGATTAATCAGTATGAGTGAAAACAGTCTGAAGGTTCTTCATCAAAATAAAGGGACATCAAGTAAAAACACTACAGATGGCCATCTCGTAATTGTGAATTCAAATATACAAGGTGGTCTTGCAAAATAATCGAATGATCTCCAACATTATAGTACAAAGCCAAAAAGCAAATATATTATGCATTAGTGAGCATTGGCTCAAAAGTGAGGAATTAAATGTGACACCTATTGAAGATATTAAAGTCCTACCTGTCCGACCGTACACAAATAGCAATGTCTGATAATGCTAAGTCAGGAATAAGGGAATCCAATTTAGGAGTACCGCAAGGGTCAATATTGGGACCCTTATTCTTCATCATATTCACTTTTTGATCTTTTTTATAACGTTATAGTATGCTTTAAAGGAACCAATAGACAATTAGACACTTTCCATCAATATATAAATACTATTCATCCAAACATTAAATTCACAATAGAAATAGAGACAGAAAATTCAATCAATTTCCGATTTCTTAGATTTGACAATAAGTAAAGTTAACGATAAACATGATTTTTCAATTCTCCATAATCCTCCCCACACTGATATCACTATTCATAATAATTCAACACACCCTTATCAACATAAAATTGCAGCATATAATAGTATGATACACAGGCTAGTGAATGTCCCTCTTTCGGAAGTAAATTTCAATAAAGAACTCAATATCATAAAACAGATTGCTGTCAACAACGGATACAACGTTAATTTGATAGACAGTATTCTTTCTAAAAAACTTCATCATAAAGCTATTCAAGAAGTTTATCCTACCATCAAGAATAATAATCAAAATTATAGAACTTTAACCTATTTCGGATCATCAACTGAGAAATTAGCTTCATTTCTAAATAAACAGGACTTAAAAGTGGCATATAGAACAAATAACACGTTGGGACGGTTTATCAAGAATAATAAAGACAAAACTTCTAAATTCGAAAAATCAGGGGTATACAAACTCAAATGTGGATCTTGTCCTAAGGTATATATCGGTCAGACAGGTCGTACGTTTAATCAGCGCATTCATGAACATAGGATGAATTTTATGAAAAAGAAAACAAATTCAACATACGCCAACCATATATTAGAAGAAAACCATAGTTTTGATGATAATTTCGAAATTCTGCACGCAGAAAATAAAGGGCTGAAACTCAATCATTTTGAATCATTAGAAATCAACAAACTCAAAAATTTTGACATTTTACTTAATGATCAATTAGACCTTAATAGTTCACCACTGTTGAATTTGTTTTCTTAGTAAGCAATAATATGTATTTGATATCAACTCTTTCAAGTTAATCCGGTATACCGTAATTTAATGTAGATATTGTGCTTAATTTCCGAAAATGGAGGTTTATCTTACCTGTCCACAGGTAACTAATCCTTCAGTTTCGGAAGGTAAGATATATAAAAGTTAAGCAAGCCAACGTTAGTTTAGTTCATTGTACCAGTATATCACCTGACGAAGCTACTGTGTTAGCGAAACATGTCGTGTGTTTAAAAATTTTTGTGGAAATCTTATCGTTTGTGAAGTTTTCACACTTTTTGATCATTGTTAAATGTTGCTGCATAAATCCACCTTTAGATGAACAATTTTATAATGATTTCTCTATTCGCCCCAAAGGTTCGTGCTGTGTCCCGAGTGCGACAACCCCGAAACGGACTTGATCGTCTCGCTGAAGCGCGGCACAGTCTCGCAGGGGTGCAAGGCGTGCGGCTACCACGGCCTGCTCGAGTCCATCCACAAGCTGATGACGTTCATCCTGAAGAACCCGCCCAACTCGAACCCCGCCAGCCAGGGCTCCTCGCTCACCGAGGGCAAGAGGTCTGTGGAATATCTATGGTTGAATAATCCTGGTGACAGCCTGTATTTTTTTCATTTGAAGAGATGAAAGTTGGAAATTCACGAGGGTTATATTATAAATGGAACACTAGCCACAACTGCCCAGGAGAAAGCCAACATTTTTGCGCATTTATTTGCTGAAAACTCCACTCTGGATTCATCGGGAAAACAACTTCCAAACATAACGCCAATTGACAGTCATATGCCCGAGATCACCTTTCGCCAACGTACTATAGATTGTCCCCCGAACTAACACCTGTTCTCTGCAAGTTGTTCAACTACTCTTACAAATCAGGGATATTCCCGTCCAACTGAAAAATTGCAAGAGTACAACCAGTTCCTAAAAAAGAAAAAAATACCCTACCTAGCAACTACATACCGATCGCACTGCTGTCTATTATTTCTAAGATCATGGAGAAAGCTATCAACATCGAGCTCATGAAATACCTGGAACATTCAGGTATTATCAACGATAGGCAATATGGCTTCCGTCATCAGAGATCAACTGGTGACTTGCTCGCTTACGTGCTACATATATGGCAGCAATCTATTGAAAAATATGGTGAAACCTTAGCCGTTGCACTTGATATCTCCAAGGCAAAGGCAACAGAAATATACAGGATGCCATTTAAAAAAAAAAGTTGGGTCTACTTCCGATCATACAGGTGGTTGAAGAAAATTGACATTGGGTCCAAGGGAAGCGCCATCATCGATGATATAACCCTTGTGAATTTCAAATTTTTATCTCATCTAATAAAAAAACTATAGGCTGTTTGTTACATGTCTCCTGTGTCACCCGGTATATTTATTTTTCTGTGACGCATATTTCGAGCAGTGATTGTGGTGTTTGGAGAAAGTTCTTTCTGTCTTACTTGAAGGAATCGTAAAAACGATAAAAATTTCTTCTAAATTTTTATTATATACCTTTTGATAGTCCGCAGAATGTTGAGTTGAAATATTTGAAATGAATAGTATGTCTACTCACAAGTATCTGTCACTTTCAGTGAATTTTTTTATTTTGGAATGAAAAATCAGCAGATCCAGTACTGTCAGTTGAATTCAGAATATAGCCTTCAATTCAAAATAAGATGAAGCAGAAGGTTCGCGAGAATGATTATGAATTATTGTTGATAAAAATTGAAAAATTCCATAATTAATACACTTGTATTTTCTCTCAAAGAGATGATATTGACGTGAATCGAAGTTTAACCTCTCACCTTTGCTACAGAGAGCTAAGAAATTGAAAGGGAAAGAGTAACTTCTGTTTTTTTCCTTAATGAGAACCAAGCTATCAGTTTTTTTTAAGAATCAAAATTCAGGTTAAAACTCCCACATAAATCTACTTTTAAGAATCAAAATTCAGGTTAAAACTCCCACATAAATCTACGATTTGGTCGAAATTTCCCCAGATTCGTCAATTTGGCTACACTTTTTGCTGGCAGTTTTTTTTGCCAGTGAGTGTAGTTGATATGAACAATCATTAATATTCAGAAATTTTTTGACACTGTCACTATTTATTTTTTCAACAACATCATTATAATCTTTCTCAACAAGGTCGAAGCGCAGCAAAAGGAACGGCGACGCTAATGGAGACAATGAGGAGCAGAACGAGTCGTCGTTGGACGGATCGGTGGTGGACAAGTCGTTGGTGAGTGGCTCAGACTGAATATCAATAAAACATAGAAAAGTATGAGACAACAATTATAAACGCCAAATACGGATAAATGAATGAAATCGCGAATGGTGGTGATAAATTTGCGGAATCAATGCCAGAGAATTGATATTCTTTAAGCATGGATATAACAAGAGGAGCCATCTTTTTGAGAGCAGCAAAGTCAAAAATTCTATTCAGTAGATGGCGGTATCTATGAGCGAAAGTTAATTACTTTTTGTTGAGTAGCGAAGGGTAGAGATCGGTAATACAGAATATTATTCGAAGTCTGAGGTGTCCAGCATATATATGATGCAAAAAACAGACCAATACTTTTTTCACTTACACGAGAGCTTTTTTTTGTCGAAGTAAATTTGACATGTATCAAGAAGAATTTTGTTGCCGTCAATTTGACGAAAAAAGCTGCCTCTGAAAAAATTACGAGTCCGTAAGACGAGTAATTTTCTCTGGCAGTTTTTTTAGTTGAATTACCTAATAGCAACAAACTTCGAATTATAAATTCCAAGTTCACTTCGACAGAAAAAAGCTAGAGTGTGATTCGGTAAGACAATTTAATTCATCAAACATTTGTTTATGGCAAGATTAAAAAACTGTTGAAAAATTCATTATCGAAGTGAACTGGAATTTGATAGGCGAAGTCTTTATCAGTAGAGAGATCAATCATCTCTCTTCGTTAACCCTTTCAGTCACGACTTTTCATTTTTTCAGTTAACAATTTTTCGTGAAATTGGGGGTTGAAGTGATTTTTTATATGATTTTTGAGAATTTTTTGAAGTCCGTACGGCCTTGATTTTTCTAAAAAAAATCATGTTCGTTTCAACGAACATGGTGACTCTACGAGAAGGAAAGGAAATAAATAGCTACAACATTGTGGTTTATTTCATATGGTAATCCTTGAAATAATTACGATCACGAGTAATACATAGATGTACACTATATTTCATACAATTAAAATGTGTTTTTTCGAGGCAAGCTCCATTTTTGCACTTTGCTCCATCCCCACTTCCATCAAATATTGGTAAATGGTCCACTTCATCGAGTCACCATGTTCGTTCTAACGTACATATGATTTTTCTCGAATTAGTGTATGAAAAAATATAATATTCGATCATTTCGTTTTTTATATATTATAATGAACATATGAGGCATTGAAAAATGAATTTTTGAACTCAAATTCACTTACTATTTTATCAAAACAAACACGAGAAATGTGTTTATGAACAATAACAGCTGACTCACTGTACACACAGAAGGTAAATAAGCGACACTTGTATAATATCCCGAGAGATAGTGCTACCTATATCAGTCATTGGATATAAAGGTCCCTCGCGTCTGATGTGGTGTATAAATGGAATGATAGGTGTCGCCTCAATTTACTATTGGCACGAAAAGTACATGTTCGTTTTAACGACCATGGTGACCGAAAGGGTTAAAAATAATGTCGAACATTGAGATCCATTTTCAGCACTTGAGTTTAAGCATAGATCTATGGTTTAAGTAATCTACAAGGTCACCAAATTGATTTTTTGCAAGATGATTTATAACAAATCTATTTACCTCTGTGGAAGATGGTAAAGATTTTTCAGTTTGCCTTTCATGATTTCAGGCTGATGAGGATGACCAGACGGAGTGGGCAGTGGACGTGTCTGAAGAGGCAGTTAGAGCTCGTATGCTCGATCTCACTGATGGAGCTAAGAACATGACCATCAGCGAAGACCTGGAAAAGTCCGAGAAAGAACGTATGGACATCCTGTATAACATGGTTAAGGTAATAATACTACAGGTATCTTTCCTGAAAATGAATGTAGCCTACCCTTGTTATCTTTCTTTCGTATCGTCATATCCTTCGAACGCATGATCCGATGATATTTTTGGTTATGTCTTGAACAATATAAGCAATTATAACCGTGGATTCAAATTCAATCCGGGTTTGATCGAGCTACGGTTTTAACGTGGACTCAACAACCAGCCGTTACTGCCAGTGCTTGTTAGTTTGTCTATACTCTGAATATACAAAAAACTTCGAAACAAAACTGCCAAGAGTCTAAAGAAACTCTGCTATAGGCCAAACGCTATGCCGGTCAGCTGGAGAACCGCCAAACGCGAAAAAAAATCCTCTGAGAAGCGGAGCGCCTCGAAGTACTTTTCGACCACAACATCCTGGCGCAAGCCAAAAAGTAACACATGCTCTTCTTGCGGTTCGCTTTAAACGAGAAGGTGCAATGTTACCTGATTGACTTAACATGCGTTCTTTCTTAAGACTTTAATTCAATAGAATGCTTGTCAACTGATTCAGTTCAGTTTGAGTGAAATATTTCAGTACGGATTGAAAGAACATCATTATATCTATCGAACGGATGATCCGATTTGTTCTGCTTCAAATTATGTGTCATCTTACTGTCACTGCTTGTCAGAGGGTCCCTACTCTAACTTTATCTGTCAGTTACAATTCGCTTGCACAGCTTGTTGCTACCTGGGAATACTCCAGCTGCTTCGCATTCACTGTTACTCCAGCTAGTCTTGAGTGCTGCTCTGTATCCTGAACTTGCCAGTCTTGAACGTTTGATTTGACTAGATCCAGCTCGAAGGACCAAAATGTTAGATGCTTGATAGTTGATTTGAATTTACTAGCGAATAAATCGGCCTTTAATTCACAAAAACGTTAAAACAATAGTTTCAAGTGCATTAAGGACCTCTGCCTTAGGTTAAACGTGATGCCGGTCAACTAGAAAACCCCCAAACGCAGAAAGAGATCCTCAGCGAAGCAGAGCGCCTCGAAGTCAAACAGAAAGCGCCGCTCATCTTGGCCGAGTTACTTTTCGACCACAACATCTTGGCTCAAGCGAAAAAGTACCGTATGCTCTTCCTACGGTTCGCTTTAAATGAGAAGAAGGCGCAACGTTACTTGATGGGAGGGATCGAGCAGGTGGTGGCGCTGCATCGCGACAAACTGATGGGCAAGGTGCCCGTGCTACTGAAGGTCTTCTACGACATGGACATTCTGGGGGAGGAGTGCATCATCGATTGGTCTGATAAGGTGAGTGTGGGCGGTTTGTCGAAGGATCGTGTTTTTCTCTCAACCTAGGGTTGAAGACGTCTGATTATGGTACATTTATCGAAAAGTAAAACTGGTATTTGCATACTGCAATAATATTGGACCTGTTCCAGTGAAACATTTCGTTTCATTATTTCAAAGTACTAACCTCAACTTGTTCACTGTCATATTACGTTATTTCACAGCATGAAAAACGCGGGAAAATCGATGACTACATCACCCGTGAACACTCTAATACATATAAGATTCGACTTACGTATCCATTCTCTATTACTGTAAGAAATATTCCTGATTGTCATTTTTATTAAAATATGAAATGAATTTTTTGGACTGAATACTTACTGCTGTTAACAGAAACTACAACACACAACTGAATAATCAGATAATCTGAGGATTAAAAGAAAGTATTTGTAAGATTTTACTCTGGATTTGACTAGATGATGGGTTGTGAAGATGAAGGTGAGAAACGAGGATGACATTAGAAAGTTAGGTTAGAAAACTCTTTTCTTGATATTTCTGTGAACTCTAAGCATTACATTGTTGCCAGGGTCACAAAAAATAGTTTGGGTTTAAATAAAATTGCGATCATTATTTGAAATATTACGCTATTCTTATTTCAATGATTATAAAAGACCAGGTGGAACCGTATTGTCTTCTGTGAATATGAGTACTGTTGACATATGTCATATTGAATCTCATAAAGTAATTACTAATTATAAATGTAGCAGCGTCTGAATATGTGGTTATGCTCGCATTGTGTTTTTTACTCTTGGAGCGCACGAAATTAAATTCATATAATCTGGAACATCGTGCGTACCTAGGGAGGATAGGGACAGGAGGTAGGTGTTTTTGTTGTTGTTTTTGAAGGTTATAAGTTCTTGAAATATATCAATAAATATCGCTATTGCCACGTGAGAAGATGTAAGACGTCATCGATAGCTGGCGTTTTTCGAAAGGGCCGATTTCAATTATTTAAAAAATTATTTGTGATCATTTTGATTAACGAATGATTGCATTATATACTATTTATACTGGGAATGATCAATATAAAATAGGTATGTGGCTTAAATTCGACTAGTGTGTTATCTCTATAACTACATTAACATATTACTATATATAGACTACATAGAACAGTGGCGACAATAGACCTCCGTTTCCGGAATGTCATTCGTGGTCAAGTCACTGAATAGCTAAAAATCTGAAGGGTATCTCCCATGCAGTAATCAATTTACTCCTTCGAAGTGCCAACCTGATATAAGGTTAGATATTTGTTAGTTTCATTTCATCATCTAAATAATCTGATTCTGCTACTTCTATACATGGCCAAAAAGATTTACCAACGCTGCTCAAGCTGAATTCAATAAATTACCACAGACATATTTCAATATTCAAAATTGCATTAAAAAACATGGTTTCATTACGAAATAGATAAAATTGATGCAGTCGTATTCAATAAAAAAGCGTACAAGTATTAAAAAGAGAGGATTTCGGGATCCTAGTTCTAGTTGTGTGAAACTGACTCAGCCAATGCTTTGTGTTTTCGTGAACCTATGACAACTTTACTATCAACATTTGGTAAACAATCATTCCCGATAGCCCGTTATATAATATCTAAAGACGAAAATTTGAAATAGCCATCTCAGGAATTGATTATGAAAATTATCGATTCGAAATTTGAACACCCTGTTGTTCATTATTTGAAAATGAAAATCTAATAGTTATTCTAGTTGAAATAGCCCTATTTCTCACTTCTACCTACGGCTATGAACGGTTTGACAAATAATCTAACCCTCAACATTGTTTCTGACAATCATAGGTCGCGTGCAAGAACTGTCAGATGACTGACCCTGGAGGCAAAACATATTTTTTTACAAATGATCGAAATAGTTTTCCACAATTATTTTGGCATATGAATCGTATTTTTGCGCTATTCATCAATTCGCTAATGCCATCACATTGTGCTGTTGTAAAATGCACAAAAACTGCAGCGGAAGATGAAGAAATCCGGATAGTACATTATGATTCAAAAGTAAGTACCTACTATAGTCACTCACAGAGTTTTCATTTTTGAAATTTGGTTATTTCTCTGATTTCTCATCGGAATTCCTTCTGCAATAGGATCAGCTAATAGAAATATACCTGAAATTTCTAGAAAAATGCAAGAAGATTGGATTCATGCAATCAATCGGTAGAACTGGTCTGACATGCTGACGATCGTGTGTGTTATAGACATTTTCAATCTATTAGCAGCATTAGCTTGTATTGCAGAAGTGGCAGAAGGAATTTTAATAAGGAATGACAACATTTCATAATGCTAACTATGTGAGATTACTATTTACCTGAAAAATCATATTCCCTAGTCTCTTGCTGCATTTTTTGTGCATTGTACAACAGTACAATGCGAAGGCATGCTTGAATTAATGAATAACGCAAGAAACACGATTCGTATGCCAAAATATTGTGAAAAACTATTTCAACCTTTTGATTCTTCTGTAACCAAATAAAAAAGTGAGGTTGTGTTTCAATAATAAACAGAAGAATGAGGTTGTGTTTCAATATTTTGCCTCCAGGGTCGGTCTTCGTGCACGCGACCTATTGATACTAGGGGAATTGAAAAGACAGAGCTCGATATATATGTCATTCCTTTATTCAATCATCAATGCATTTTTTGAAAACAGAAAAAGACAGAAGTATAGTTGTGCCCGGACTCTTTTCTAAGTCCTATACAGGGACTCTAGTGTGTACAACCCCCATTATTTTATTATCTCCCAGGTGTCGAAAAAGTACGTCGCCAAGGAGGTGAGCCAAGAGATCCACGACAAGGCGGCCCCCTTCGTCAAGTGGCTGAAGGAGGCCGAGTCGGAGGAATCCGACGGCGGCGACGGCAGCTCCGGCGACGAGGATGACGACGTCGAGATCGAGTACGACGACCGCGCGCAGGTCATCAAGAAGGCGGCGCCTGCGCCCAAAGCGAAGGCGGTGGTCGAGGACGAGGACGGCCCTGATGACGTCGACATCGATGCTATCTAGATGTGGACGGTTGGGGACCGCGTCGGCATCCTTTTTTTCTATGCGGAGGAGGCGGTTTCGATGGTGAGGCTTTTTCAAACGGGATGTAGAAGTCATCGGAATGGACGTAATCACCGAAAATTGCAAAATTCATAATATCACCAATAGAAGGCAACGGTCTCGAATGTGTTATCTTTGAATTATCATTCAACTACCTAGTGTTACGTTTCTACTGTCTTGAATGGCCATTGAAATCATTCAAATAATTCTAATTTTTAGAAATATAGTAAGTTACAATTGTTTAGGCAACATACTATAACCACATGACGTACTACAGCTGTGTGACTACATGTTTTTATAGTTGGCTTTGGCTGTATGCCCTATGACAAGAGGCCATTATGCAGTGCTGCCAACCCAGCCATTTTATGGTTAGTCCTAGCCATTTTCAACCTCATCCAGCTACTAGAAATTGCATCTAGCCATTTTTCCATTTTTTCTAGCTTATTTTTCGGAATTCCAATAAAAATATTTTCATTTTTATTATATTCTCATAGATAGTTCATTATATTCACGATCTAATGTAAGTCAAATTTACACCAGTCTATATTTCTATGGATATTGAAAACAGTTTCGAAAAATAATTTTAATCATCAAATGAACTAGCTTTTTTCCTCAAGGTTTCTGGCTCAACCCGGCCCTGACGAGTTCAAGACGCTCGTCTAGGATCTGCTGTCATTTCAGTATGGTGTAAATCAGGTTTTCAAACATTGTTGCGAGACTTATAGTAATTTGAAAGACATTATTGGAAACCATAGGGAAGCGTTGATCTTCGTTTTGATTGGTTAATATTGAAGGCAATACACACCTACCTATTATGACTAATGACGTGACGATAAAGATCGAAGTTTTCTTTATGGGAAGATGATCAAATTATCAAATTTCATTCCTTTGTCAAATTTTTTATATGTCACAATGCATCCAGAGCATAAGTACGAACTCAAAGTGAATTTCAATTATTAGAATAGTTATGATTTTGACATAGACGGCCATCTATTGATTTGGTCAGTGTATATATTCCTTCAGAGGCATCTACTATCTCATTTACTGGAATGTACCATAAGTTTTCCAACTTTTTACAGAATTTTAAATATCCCTTTAACATTTCTTATAATTATCTGAGAATATTCTTTTTCGATGGAATGATGAGCCTTAAAACCGAGCTGTTAACATCATTATTATTTTGTGCATGCCCATAATTTCATAATAGAATCATTATATATGATATTCCAATATTTATAATTTTTTTATAATCTATCCTATTTTCACCCATATTAGTACATGGCTTTTCTAATGGTAGTACGTTATGAAAGTGGTGGAGGAGCCCAAACAATATCTTCACGAATTTTTCAAGAACAATTTGATCACGCGAGAATAATAAAAAATAGTTGTTCAGTGATTTTTCAGAAACTATGAAGAGGATCGGATGACTAGCGCCAGACAAACAAATTTCTACTGCGGACAGTAGTAGTACTAGTAATTGACCATAACAGGGGATCAGGGTGGTAATCACCGAACAAAGATCTTGAGTTTTGCAGCTAGGACCGTAATGAAATTCTTTTAGAATATACGAAATAATCAATCAATAATATCTCCTTTATTTTACAACTTTTATTGATGCGATGTTTGGTGGATCTGTATATTTCGATGAATTCTACATCTCCTCGAAAAAAGGTCTCACCCAGTACTTTTCTGGCGACTTTGAGATGATAACTCGAAGTTTAATTTTTTTGTGTCACTGTGAATTAGTACAGTTTAATCTACTGGATGTCTACTTTTAACAAACCCTCAAGCCCACAATCATTTCTTTACAGTTTACAAAGACTTCGGATCAAGGTTGGCAGAATTGTTATTTATATACTTCTTTCACTTCCTTTGGTCTCGTGTTGCTTTTTGAAACAAGAAAGTTCGGTCGATTATATTGAACAATTCAGATTTCAAACTAAAAATATTCGGATTCATTCAATGAGTTCGGTAAGCATTTGTCATTCAATGGTATTAATAGTCTGATGTTGGGATATATTGACTTGAATCAAAAATCTGCAAACTAGCTATTTATGGATAAAAAATACGATTTTCATGAACTTTCTCCACATTTACAATGAAAATCTGTAGTGTAACCACTTATAATTATTTGGCCATAATGCTGCAAATTGTTGGTATAAATGTCTCAGTTCTAAATCAGTAAAGATGAGGGTAATGAGGTTATTATTGAATTTTGAAAGTTGAAAATAATCACAAGGGTAACAAAATGGAAATTAGCATTACCAAGGGAGGGTATGTCTAAGTTCTTGTTTTTATGATTAAATGATTGGATGTCCAGAACAGTGATACCTGATAAGGAAAAAATAATTGTCTAGCTGTATACTTGTAAAACAACACAAAAGGATGTCGATGCGGTAATAATTATTTCCATTGAGAGCTGTTGAGATGATGTATATTATATTAAAGGGTGTTCTATATTTATCTTATTCGGGCCTTGAATTGTTATTCACTTGGTTTTATTCCTCCCATTTTATTATAGATTATAGCCTATTTTCAATTTCGTTTATTGATAAGTGATAGGCGATTTATGGTGAAATATAAGAACATTTTCTCATTCATGAATACCTTTATTAATGACCTCCCTACCTATATCATTCTAGTGAATTAACCACATGGAAACGCATTGTGAAAGGATAAGGTGTTTTGATCTTCTTCTCTTTGGGTTTATTGGATGTCTGTCTGTCTCCTTTCGGAAACAATTTCTCCAGATCAGGTAATACATTTTTTCAAGAATAAATACTTGGTTATGTAATGATATTTTCACTCGATTCGCCACATAAGACACCAATTGCCTGAAGCCGAGTCATCAATGTTCATAAGAATCGATCTATGTACTCCTCTTATCCAGCAAATCCGTTGCTGATCCGGCCTGTTTACCGGCGTAGAAATAATGGAGCACGTTCAACTTCAAGTATGGCCCCCTTATCCGATGAATCCGTCATCATCCGGCCTCTATACCGGCGTAGAGATAAAAGAGCCTGATATTTCTCACACACACTTAATTCATATCTTGAAAATAGGACAATCAATACAAAATCAAACAACTCTGTGTCAAATAAACTATTAATCAATAAGGGTGTCCCACAAGGCTCTGTTTTAGGACCTATACTATATTTACTTTATGTTCAAAATATCAGTGAAATTGGTCTAGCATGTGAATATACCATGTATGCAGATGATACAGTACTTTTATATGAAGGCAAGAATCCTTCAGATTTAGAAAATATGATAAATGAAGACTTCGATAAATACTAACAAAACAGAATATATGATTTTTCACCAAAAAAATAAACAAAAAATTCACCTCAACCTTAAAATAAAAAATGAACTCTTGAAACAAACTGACCAGATAAAATATCTTGGTATTTGGTTTGATGACAGGTTGAAGTGGGACACACATTTTGATGTTCTGACAAAAAAAATATCTCCAATTATTGGTGCATTGAGAAGATGTCCCAAACTTGATATTAAAATTGCAAACATGATTCTCTACTCTCATATACTGAGTCGTATCAACTATTTAATAAATGTTTGGGGATCTTGTTCAAAAAATAATTTCAATAAAATATCAACATTATATGGAAAATCGTTAAAAGTATTGTATCGTCTCCCATTTGATACACCAACCATAATCGCAATTGTATGAAATAACAAATACGTATTCTTTAGATGAAATATATAGAATTGAAACTCAAAATATCATATAATATCATAAATAAAAAATTGAAGTCGAATATTATTTTGATACGGAATTCTGAAATTCATAATCATGAAACTAGACAATATAACTTGTTCCATCTTGACGCCGCTAGCTCCCTAATCGGACAAAAAAGATTCACTCATTCAGCCTTAACTGAATTCAAAACTACCTGATAATATAAAAAATTGCAGAAATATAGGTATATTCAAAAATGAAATAAAAAAAGTGATTATTTCTGAGCGGACTGGATAAAATTAATCATGCCATTTTTCTTTTTTTTTTTTCTTTTTTTTTTACAAATATTATTCTTTGTTTGTCAATTTACAGTTGTTGATATATTTTGAATGATGCTATGTTTACCTATAGGTATATAATTATGTACTTCCTTATACCAGAGCCTATTCTGTCTGGAAGTTATTTGTTCAATAAATAAATAAATTTACTGACTAAAAAAAAACTTCACATTAGATGTGGCCAAATGTGGAAATCGACTAAAATTACAAATATTCAACAATAGGTCTTTTCATTTAGATGACAAATGACAATCGTTGTTTACATCTCGCCTCCAACGACAGTGGCGGCGAAAATTTTTTTAAGGAATTATTCAAATTATTGTTGTTGACATTGACATTTCTCATTTGATGTTGATCAGGAGAATAATGTGCATGCAGAAGAAAAATCAAATTGATGTCATGTTGAAGAAAGCAGGAAATAATGGAACAAAATGTAAACAAGGTTTCTACAGCAGAATGATTGAGTTATAAATAGTTTTCATCTAGTATTTATTCTAAACTGAGCACCATTGACGACATGAAAAATAAAAATACAACTTTACCAGGAGCCTCTCATTCAACGATACAACTCTGTGGCTTTAAATTTACCGAAATGAAGAAAAAGTCTCACTACCTGATTCAGGTAATATGTGGTAGGTCTAATCTACATGATTTATTTTTTTAAATGTAACTACACTCTCAATCTGGAGGCTTATTTTCCATGCTGTTACTGTAAAGTGGTAGCGAAGTAATGACTATTATTGAAGTATGTAGAAAAGGTTCAGTTTAGGAGGAACATTCAGATCTTGGTGTGCATGAAATTATTTGGAGGCTTCTTGATGCTGTTACTGTAAGTGGAATGGAAGATATAATGACTATTGAAGTATGTGGAAAAGGTTCATCAGTTTAGGAGGAACATTTTGATATTATGGTGTGCATGAGAGTTTTAATATCAGGCATTGATGTTATACAAAGGGATTAGTTCAGTAATAATTTTCATTATATTTTGAATAAGTACTTATTATTACATAAGATTTTGCTCAATTTTGTATACTTCCATACCAAAATTCCAACAGTCAGAAGATTTCTGCTTGGACTCATTGATAAGTTATGCTGAGAGAGGGCATTAGTTTCTAGAGGCAAGCAGTATAAGCTTACTATTTCAATTACCACCTATCTAGTAGTATATTGAAAATATTTAATTTTTGTTCTGTACTCATTTACTATATCATATATATATAGTCACAGATTAACAATAAGGTTTGTTAATCTGTGACATAGTCATCTATGAAAATATACAATAGGTACTTTGGATTATCAAAGAATAGTCCTCTGGGACAGAAATTGTTCAAAGCTTTCTTTAATATGAATAATCAACACATTATTTTGTATCTGGACGAAAGGCCACATTTGATTATTCACAAGCAAAATAAAAATCAAGACCATTCTGAGTTATTTAATTATTATAAATTCAAATTAGTGAATAATATCAAGGAATACATAAAGAATGTCAGATCATTTTCTGATATCAAAATGATAATACTCCTGTTCAAAATTAAGGCACCACTCACATTTCTTTGAGTTTTAAATTTTTCTAGCATTCAATTTTGCTCAAGTTCTCAATATTTGAATAAGGATAACTCATCCTCAATGCAATACTCTCTGATTACCCTTATTTATATATTATTATCCAAATAATTTACTAGAAATTGCAATATAAAGAATATATCAAAATGATTATTAATGACTACAGGTGTATTATCTAATGCCATAATTATGCTTACAATATAAATCAAACTATTTGAAAGCTTGAAAAGTCCAGTCTGTAACAAAATGTTATATGCAACAATTTCTGATAAATTTGTGATTACTTCATTAGATCATTAAACATAATATTCAAATTATAACTAACATATATCATTCATTTATTAATCAGTTTTGCTGTGAAAATAATAAAGGAAAGCACATTTTATAATTAGGTATTTTCGAAAAATTCATACATGACAGCATTCCTGATTCACAAATTTATTACAATTCATTATTACTGTTTCACTCCTAGAAAGTCATGAAAACAAAATATAAACATTTCAAAATTAACAGATCATTTATTCATTATTTTTGATGTTAGAAATAAAAGGGAGCAATTGTATAGTTATTATATCAAAAAAAAACATCACTATATCTTTACTGATTCTCTTCTAGAAAATAATTAGAAGAAAATATGAACATTGCAAAATAACATAGAACATTAATGTATATTGAAAATAAAGGGTAGCAAATGTTATGTTATTACATCAAAAAATTGTTCACACTACATCTTTACTGATCTACTTCCTCTAGAAAATAATTAACACAAAATATGAAAATTTAGCAGTAACAGAACATTTGATGAGTATTAAGAATGAAGCCAGCAAATATATTTACAGTTGTTATTATATTGAAAATATATATGATTCACTTCTAGAAAATAACTAAAACAAAATATAAACATTACAAAATAAAATATATCATCGATGAATTATTTTTGCTGAGTATTAAAAATGAAGGGGAGCAAATGTTATAACAGTTATTACATAAAAAATTCTTTACACTACATCTTTACTGATTCACTTCTTGAAAATGATTGAAAGCAAATTAAGAAAGAGATTTAGAACTAACACAGAACATTTATTCATCATTTTTGATAAGTAGGTACTAAGAATGAATCCATCAAATGTAATAATAGTTATTATATCAAAAAAATCATTACTCTACAGCATTAGGTAGTGATTTACTTCTATACTACGTTCCAAATAAGAAGACAGTAGGTGGCGCTACGTCTGAAGAAAGGCTTACACTGGCAAAATTAAAATATGGCGCCTAATTCAAAATCATGGCAAAATAAATGGGTTGAG